AGCAGAAGCCTCAGATTGATTATAATAAGGACAAATAGGAAGGGTGTATTTCAAGCTTGTTATGTAAACAAGTAATTGGGCTTTTTTCTTATCAACTAAGACAGAGGTGTCAAACTCAAATATACAGTGGGCCAACATTAAAAAATCGGTACTAGTCGAGGGCCGGACTTGTTCAATGTTTATGTCAAAACGTATTGAAATGAACTTATTGCACATATTCAACCTGGAACTAACAAAGCTTAAATTATTGCCTATAAAAACAACATTAAATAATCAGTTGCATTAATTTCGTATGGCTCTATCTGCAGCTTTTCCGGAGTCACAGCTTCAAAAAAACTATTTCCCTCAAAGAACAAAACAAACGTGCCCTGTTGTCGCAAGAAAGAAAGTGCAAAAGGAAACATCCATTGAAACTCAGTGTTATGCTCTGTGATGCTAGTTCAAGCCAGATACTTGGCATCTCATCTTGGGTGCAAGTTCATCAATGTTTGGGCTCAGGCTCTGAGCTGAGGACACCCTCAGGATGGAGTGAAGGTGTGCGTGCAATATACCGGCGGGCCAGATCTAATAGTAATTCGAAATTATCCTGCGGGCCGAAATTAAATCCACCAAGGGCCTGATTTGGCCCCGGGCCTTGAGTTTGATACATGTGAACTAAGATATGTTAGAAAATGTTTCCAACTTTAATTGACTGAATTTATTTGAAAAGTGGTCTTATTAACACATGAATACTACTGTGTAATATGTTTACATGTACAGTTAAGAAGTACAATATAAGACAAGTACAAGTTTCATTTGTGGGCCATATTTCATTATACTTTTTTAATTAGCTGAGGGCCGATTCAAAATGGTCCGCGGGCCGCATTTGGCCCCCAGGCCGTAGTTTGGACACCCCTGCTCTACAATATGAGTCTCAAGGCAGTGTAAGCCCTCAAACTGGAGTCGAAATCATTCTAAACCCTTTTTTATCGCCATGTTTTTTTTCAACTGCTCAATTCTTCCTCCATATGAACATCTGCATGGTAACATTATCAACATTGACAGCATCACAGAGAAATCTCACTCCAAACAGGTCCTCTCTGACCCTCGTGTGCACTCTGACCCAGCTGCACTGACAGTGGGCACAGGAGGGTAGTACAACACTGGCTGACAGACTCACTTATCTCAGCTACACAGGGATGTTTGTTGCACTCTTCTCGGCTTTCTGGGGTCAAAGTCGGGTCACAGCGGTCACTTGGGGAAATGTTGTCGGCAAGACAGCGCACCTCACGCACACGGTAGCCCGTGTTGCAGGAGCGTGAACACTGAGGTGTTAGAAAGAGAGAGTGAAGACAGAGAGGAAGAGTCGCACATACAGTACAGTATACATCATTTTATTGGAGTCCTAAATATGGACACCACTTAGTCGTCACAACTAAATCCATCACCTTTTGAACTAATTCTAAAGAAGTTGTGGTATCTGGCCATGCAAATATATTTGAGAAAAATTGCAAAGTTGGTTCTTATTAAACTGAATGTGACAAAGGAAGGGAGCCACATCTGAAGGGCTTGTTGAATCCCTTGTGTTTTCAATAAGGAAGCTCACAAAAAACCTATGGAATTTCCTATTTTTATGTTTATGGGTTGGTAGGCACTACAGACACCAAAATGTACAGTATCTGCACCAGTACTGAAAAAGTGAGTTTCTGGTGATATAGTATGTCCCCTTTAAAGATGACATTCATAAATCCCATCAGCAAACTGTCTGTCCTGGTGACTCTAGATAAAAAAATATATATATACCCTCTGAAACTGTTAAGGTCAAGACCTTTTGAATAATACTTAAAGGATTAAAGTGATTTGATCTAATCACAGATGTTGTTTGAACATTTAACGTTTAATTGACACCAAGTGTCCCAACTATTGACTATGGCTCTGACTGATACCACATGAGGGGCATGTCTTGCATAGTGGAAGAAGGGAAGACTTTGAGACACTTACCAAGCTCCACTCTGTGAAGTACCACTGGACACCGCATGGCTTCAGTCTGCAGGGCTGAGCTGTGATTGGCTGAGAGAGACTGGAACATTTGAACTGGTCCACAACCTCCATACGACCATCGTCGTTGAAAATACAAGCCACACTCCGGGACTGTGTACCATTCCCGCACTCTGCAGAACACTTCACAACACACACACACACACACACACACACACACACACACACACACACACACACACACACACACACACACACACACACACACACACACACACACACACACACACACACACAC